CGAACCACCTGGAATTAATGCCTCTATATATTTGCCTGCGGTGTGCACACGTTCGTATATATAATTTTAAGCGAAACGACCAGACACACACACTAAGCGCCCGCCCACCAACACTAGTACATGCTCCCCTGCGCAGGCGTATTTACGTTTTTCCGAGCTCTCTCGTTGCGCCGCTTGTATGTGGATGCGCGAAATCCAATTTCTCGCTCTCTCTCTCTCTCTCTCTCTCTCTCTCTCTCTCTCTATCGTACACAGGCACACACGGGCGCGCGCACAAACGCTCGTGTTCGCCACCGCACGTCACTGACTCTCGAGGACGCGTAGTGACGTGTAGTCTGTAAGTCTGATCAACACAAGTTTATGCGGAAAATAATAATAATGAGCTGCGTTCGCGGACAAATGGAATGTAGACGTACATACCACCTCTATAGAACTTGATAAAGAAATTTTTTGAATTTTTTTCTTTTTATAAATCTCAGATTATATTAATTATTCCAATTGGCAAGTACTTAAAAGCAAAGACGCAGTCGGAAATCATACTGTGTAAGCGTCAGGATTGAATATATGTGCACTAGTAATTTGGAATAAGAGAAAAAAAAACAGTAAAACACTATCGATATCGAGGAATAGACAACATCACTTATAAGTTATATAAATTTCATTTAATATTTTTGACATCTCATTTCATTGTTTCTCTTGTCTGCCTATTTTCTGATAATTAGAGTGCAAGTTTTCTGCTTTACCGGTAATCAGTAAAGCGCTCGATTTTCCAGCAGACGTGCGCAAATGGACGATAAATATATATATATTTTTTTCATTTAAAAATTGCTCCATAATAATTAAAATGAAAAATGCTATCGACATTCAAAAGTTATTTAGCTTTTTCACTACATTCGATACAATGATTTTTCTGCCAATTAACATTTTATACTATTTTTCATTTTTAGGCAGTTGATACGATTTTCCTATTATTTATGAATATAATATTTCCTATATTGTAAAACTAATTATTATTCAATTTTTATCAAATTTACATTCTTATGCTATTTACATTAATGATTATAACAATAAAATTTTATAAATTAAAATTCTAAAGTTTTATATAATATAAATGTTTATGAATTTTGAATTATTGTACGAAATAAATACAAACAAATTATAAAATTCAGTACAAAACTATAACAAACTATTTTCATTCATAAAATTAGAAAATATTTGAAATTATTAACTTAGATTAGTATTCCATATTATACAATCATTTACTATTCAACTGTAAAATTTATAAATATATTGTTAAGCCAGTTTTAAATATATTTGCAAGTGCATCTATTAATTAGTTTAAGAATTTTAAATAATCAATAAAGATAGAATAAACAATAAAAAATTTCATTTACTTGATTTTATTTAACAATGTTACAATATAAAAATTCCACTATACCGATATTAATGTATTTGAACAAAATTTTTACGTAATTAAGTTGATCGAAAATGAAGTGCTTCTTAATATTAAAAGTAATTTTCTTCGTTATTGCAACCTACTTATATATACATATATACCTACAGTATGAACATATCCAGAAAAGTTTTTTGAAATTACTGAAATACATATAAATGAAAATATAGTGTTAAAATATGTATTATAAAAAATAAAAATTGCAAGCTTCTTTTAAATTTTACAGCTGATAAAATTAACTTACTTGAATATAATTACGAATTTAATATATATCAAATATATATGTAATAATAAATTTATTAATTCGATAATTATACATACATTCATATAAATGTCTAAATTATGATTGTCTATGTATATATGTATATATATATATATATATATATATATATATATATGTGTGTGTGTGTGTAATTCTCTCGTGTATCAAAATATTCAAGAATAATCTAATCTATAATAAATTATCAATAAAATTATAATGGTTAAAACTGGATCAATTGATCGAATAATGAAATCAAATATTTGACAACTGGTTGAAAAAAAAAAATCAAATTAGATCTAAATGTGTCGTAGTCGGATAACTTTCGTTAGAAGTGCATACCTTTACAAAAACTATACAAGACAGAATGTCTTTTATAGAAAGAGAGAAAAACATAAATAACTTATAGCGAAAAAGAGTGTTAAAAATGAAAAAAGAGATACAGAGAGAGAACAAAATCCGGTGTTTGTGTGTTGAAGTTATACATCGGTTACGTCGTCGTAGCCTGAGAGGGATGGACTGAAGGAGAAGCTAATCGAGAAGCCGATGGAGAAGTGCTGATAAGACAAAAAATGAGCCTCGAGTCGCGAACATCTTCGTAGCCACTCACTCTCTCTCTCTCTCTCTCTCTCTCTCTCTCTCTCTCTCTCCTCGTCTCTTCCCTTTCTTCGTCCTTACCTTATATACCCTATTCTCTTTATTTGCAGATATATTGACGTAATAGTACGCTCATCTTTATAACTCTATATGTGTAAAGACCTGATTATCTGTACACACACGCACACATATATATATATATATATATATATATATATATATATATACATACATATAGGTAAAATATATCAAAGTGTAAAAGAAATGAATTTTCTTTCAGCTAGAGAAAAACGACCCGTAATCCTGAATATATACAGTTCTTCCTTATTCTTGTTATTCACATCACGATCCATCGCGGTATAACCTATCGTTTTGATTTATATATTGTTATTCCTCCTAGAATACATAACTGGTATTTGAATAAATGTCAATTTAGTAAAATATATTAATTTGAGAAGAATATTTATTATGTTTTCCATACCAGTGCTTTGTGTGATCAATAAAATCTAGCACTTGGATTTTTCTTATGGATTTTATAATTTTATATGTATGTATGTATACACACACTTACGCACACGGAGACGCGCACACACACACACACAAATACATATAACATTATTTTGGTGCAAAACTAGTAAAAATACATTAATAATACCTTTGATTTACTAGTGAATATTTTCTAATATTACTTTTATACACTTTGACATCACATTGTTTCTAAATAGTTTTAATTTTTTATTTCAAAAAATGATCAATAAAATTACAATATTTGTTAATTGAAATTATCAAATTCTAAAATTATAAGTTTATATAAAATATTATTACTTATGTGAGAATTCAACATTTATGAATATTTAATCATTATGTATACTGATAAATTGCAGATTCTGTAAATCTAACTTCGCTTTAGCTCCTGTAAAGTAATTACAGATTACAAGTTGTCGGTCGTTTTATTTGACAAACCATACAATTAATATAAAGCAATGATTTATAATACACTTTTTACATTAATCCTGAGCGACATAATTGTTAGTAATATAAAAATGTAATGTTAATAATAATGTTAATTAGTAATGTCGATACAGTTATGTAAAAAATGTTGACACAAGAATCGTTGTTTTAAATCAACAATAGTATGATTGCGATATAATAATTTAATAAATTTGTATATTTATATATTTAGAGAAGAATTTATCAAATATAATAAATTCATTCAATACAAACAGAATTGATATTAAATTCAGATTGAAATATTATTTTTCAAACTATAGAGTACAATTTAATTAATTTAATTATGCTCGTATTAAAAATAAAATCTTATATATAAACATTATAAGTAAAACGTTGCTGTGAATTGGAATTTATATAATAAATTTAAAATGTAAGCTTGAATAATGCTTGAATAAAGCCTATTTAACGTTTTAGATTTTATTTCATTCTGCCACTTTAAATTTTGCATTAGAGCTATTTGAATATTTTATTTATCCATAATGTGACTCGTGAATTATCAATTACGCAATATAAAATTCTAAAATGTAAAACCAATATTTTTAGTTGAGTTTAAATGTGTATAAATGTATATTTAATGCGGAATATATAGAAAAATTCTGTGTAATACACCTATTTATGAACTAGATTATAAATCGAAAATTATGATTTTAAAATTCGTACGTTATTAGTTTAATACCTTAATGTATATTACCTTAATAGCGTGTTATTATGATTCTTGGACATTTCTTAAAATTTATGTGAATTGCGAAGTAAAATTAAACAAATTATAAATAAATAATATGCATGCTAGAATCATAAAACATTTGTATGCTATGACCTTTTGTTTCTATTATTCTAACCAAGTCGAACGCTAGAAAAATGACCTAATCGATAGAATTGATTTTCATATCGTATTCTTTTTAACTTAAAAAACTTTCTATAGCCATCTTACAGTATATTTCTCATAGTATATTTCAAAGAAAGATAATAAAATAAAAGCTCCGCCTATTGAGCTTGGATGTAAGTGCCGTCATTCCCTTGGGAAAGCTCCACTTCTACTTACACTATCGTACGATATCTTTAACCGACTACGCTTTTCTCTGTGCCGGCTATGCCGCGTTG